AATGAACAACAGAGCCAGCGTCACCAGAAGGGGCCCGAGCCATAGATCGGGAGGACGTCGATGGCGCCCCCGACGTCGTAGCTCCCAGCGAAGTCGAGCATCGGGAGACCCAGAGAGACGTCGACGGTGAGGAAGAGGAGGTTGCTGTGGACGCTGTCGATGGTGAAGGTCGACAGCTGGTTGATGGTCAAGTTGGTGAGAGATCCGTGCAGGCTGTGGCGGAGAGAGAAGGGGGGTAGGTAATTAGGGCGGAGAGAGAAGAGGGGGGGGGGGGTAGGTAACTGGATTAGGAGGAAAAGTTGAGAGCTTAAAGAGGTGGGTTGCGTGTTCAAAGTGTTGAGGGTTGAGGTAAAGCTGGGTTTTGTGGGAGGGTTTTGTCCCATACATTATGAGGTAAAGTATTGATTTCTAAGATTATGAGGTCAGGTATTGGATTATGAGACTATTACGTTTTAAGGCAAAAAGCATCAGCTCATTCAATCACGGTACGTCTCTCTCTCTCTCTCTCTCTCTCTCTCTCTCTCTCTCTCTCTCTCTCTCTCTCTCTCTCTCTCTCTCTCTCTCTCTTCTCTCTCTCTCTCTCTCTCTCTCTCTCTCTCTCTCTCTCTCTCTCTCTCTCTCTCCTCTACCTTCCGCTTCCAATTTTCCCTCACTTTCCCACTCTTTCTCAATGCCTCCCTTCCTCTCCCCCCCCCTCCCTCCCCCCCCCCCCCGCGCCACCAGAACCTACTGCGTGGTCCCGGATGTCACGTTCAGACTGACTTCCGGCAGCACCATAGGATCCAGCGGAGGAACCCCCAGCTCGGGCCACCCGTCCACCATGTGCGTCCTGAAGTTCTCGAGGGCGGCGATGATCTGGTCGTCGATGACATTCCTGACGGCGGAAGGTCCTGCGGGAGGGCGGGAGGAAGGGCGTGAGGGCGGCGGCTTCGGTCTCAGGGATATTAGTGAGAAAGATCTAGTGCCGTGGTCGGACCTTCAAGTATGACTATAGTCGATGCACATACCACACACAATGTATATGTGTGTGTGTGTCTGTGTGAGTGTGTGTGTGTGTGTGTGTGTGTCTGTGTGTGTGTATATATATATATATATATATATATATATATACATATATACATATACATACATATTTTATTTATGTGTGTGTGCACATACACAAAACACGCCAGCAATCATCTCTACATGTATGAATGAATACAAACCGACAGAGAAACGAAGAAACCCGCACAGCCTATCCTCATCAAACCGAACCCCGACTCACCCGCCTGTAGTCCGGCGACCGCGGCGAGGAAACACAGGAGCCGAGCTAGCGTCATCCCTTCGCCAACGCTGCTTCAATATTTCTGTCAAAATTCTCACCCGAAACGTGGGGAGGGGGTGAGGTAGTGGAGGGGGGGAGGTAGTGTTACCAGAATCCTCCAAAAATATCTTTTATTTATTTATTGTTTTTCCTTATAGGTATTTTGTGTTTTTTTTTTCTCTTATTCATAAACCTACTTTAACTCAATGATAATATTTTATTCTCCTTTTTAGATTGTGACTTGATATTACGTAAAGTATTGCATTTTTTTCTTTGGTAATATCTGTTGATGTTCATCTGTGAGAAAATCGTCAGCTTGCAATTATGATACAGAATAAACAAATATTAACCTTGTGATAAGATAAAGTAAACTGTATTTCGTATTTTATATAAACTCATTTTCCTTAAGTGAGAACGAGAGAGAGAGAGAGAGAAGAGAGAGAGAGAGAGAGAGAGAGAGAGAGAGAGAGAGAGAGAGAGAGAGAGAGAGAGAGAGAGAGAGAGAGAGAGAGAGAGAGAGAGAGAGAAGAGAGAGAGAGGAGAGACAGAAAGAGAGAGAGACAGAAAGAGAGAGAGAGAGAGAGACGGGGGGGGGGCAGAAAGAGAGACAGAGAGAGAGAGACAGACAGACAGACAGAGAGAGAGAAAGAAAGGGGATGCTTCTGCAGAGCTCCGTGGCCTCAACCTGTTCTTGCTATATCCCGAGCCATGTGGTGAGAATATAAACACTTGTTACACTCTCTCCCTCAATTCCCACTCTTTTTTGGCATTACTCTTGATGTATTCCAATTTCAGTCACTGTTTTAATTCTAATTGAAAAACATCTTTTCCATCTTATTATCATCAATTATATAATAACATTACAAATACTTGCTTAATATTTCACCATCAATGCAATTTGTTTATCAAGCGCGTAATCAAGTGAGGATTAGGACTCATTTACCTCTTTTCCATCTCGCATGACTGAATCATTTACGCTTTATCAAACAGCATGTACGAGCCGTCAGCACAATTAACAATGGAATTAACAAATCACAAATTTTAAGAGGTAGGTACGTATCCCCCTCTTCCGGAAACGCCATTGATAAATGCTGGCATTCTCATATGACCTAGACTGAATTAAAGTTGTTTACTGCGTATACTGACTCCATTGTGTAAATTGATAAGTTTAAGGAAAATAGGTTTAGTTGTCAGGAA